GCTTTGCTAGAAGTCTCACCTTCCACCTCTCCTCTCCACACAAGCAGACCTCGTCCTTTTCCCGTCACAGTGCTGTCACGTCATGTGGGCACTGCCTGCTCACTGCCTTTGTCCCCCTCCAGATGGGACGCTCCGAGGACAGGACGGTGCTCACGTGCAATGGAGAGACTTTGTCAAGTGTGTGTTTGTGCTTCTGCCTTTAAAACTAAAGCATTAGAAAACAAAGTTGGATAAATACTTACCAGTTTTTTGAAAGCCTGACTTTTTAAGCTTTCAAGCTTAGACACTGAGTGGAAAGGCTGGGTCCTTTCCCCACCATTGCGGGGCTTTCCTGTCAGTTCTTCGCATCTACTTCTGTTCTAATAGAAAACATTTAAAAATATTTGAGGACTAACCAAAAAAAGGAAAACATAAAATACATGGATTCATGAAGTGTGAGCTTCCTTCTTTCCCCTGGACCAGCCTCTACAGATATCCTGGCAGGACGGACAGGAGACGGCAGAGGCTTTTTAACCGAGCGCCCTTTGTTCGCTCTGAGATAGACCTTCGGCAGTTTGCAGGTGTTCTGCTTCGGGCTCACAGTGGAATCCCTTCTGTTTGAACCCTGCACCTCCTGCCTGTGTGTCCCTCGGGGAGAGCCAGGCTCTGATGGGCCATCTGTGCCTGCAGGAGTGGAGGTGGTCTGGCTCCCTTGTGATCCTTCTTGGGGCATAAACGGAGACCCGTAGTGGCACCCAGTTAGAACTCTACCTGGTTGAGGACACAGAGAGGCAGTTCTTGAGTGTAGACAAAGACAGCAAGCCTACATATCTGTAAAAAAATTTTTTTATTCTTTAGTCATTACTTTTTCTTATAGACTGTGGTCTGTCTTCTGAGAAAAGGGCCCTACATCTTAATGTAGTTCACTTAAGAATTATTATTAGCTGTTATGAGCTTCGTCTGCCTCTATGAGAAGAAAGAAAAAACCTGCCATAGTGATGTCATTGTTGCAAGACTTCTCCCTGGGGCCTCTTACAACACCAAGAAGCTAAGGGGCAGTAGATTTAATGGATTGTTTAACATCCTGGACAGACTTGACCCATCCTCTGAAAACCTTAGCTGAACAATACTGGTCTGCTTTGGAGATGCTAGCCAAGCCGCCCGGGAAAAGGCCCGTATTATATATGTGTCCCTACCTGCCCGCCTAAGTCCATGACAGGGGTTACCACAGGCGTGGGTCCCCTGAGAGAGGGTATTTTTAGTGGAGTCAAAGAGAGCAGAATCTGAGTTTCTGTGAAAGGTACAGAATAAGGGCATAAAATCGGGAGCAGAGGAAGGACATTGGCTTCTAGAGGACCTGGAACAGAATGTGGTCTTCCAAACACAAGCGTTTTCGATACCCACCACCCTGCGAACTTGTACTTAAAAAAAAGTATTATATTCGTGTGAATCCTCATGTCTCCTCCAAAGCAAGCTCCATGCTCTCGCAAGCCTGAGGCTCTGTAGATGTCCGTGCGCATAAACGTCTCTTCCTGTGAAGGTTCGAAGAAGTTCATTTACTCAGGTTGATTGAACAGATCGAAATGAACAGGCTGATGGTTCGTGGGTGTGGTGATGATAAAGTTGGCTTGAAATAAAGCTTTGGTGATTAGGAGACCATGTTCTAGTTAGTGTAGTCACATCTTTTTTCCCACAGAGTTTTTTTTATCCCAATAATGTGCTCATGCCCGCAATGAAAGCGTGCTTTGCAAATCCAAACTCCCCTAAAGGCAGCAGTGCTGCCCTGTCCAGGCAGCGAGCAGACTTGTCCCAGGAAGCAGTGTCGGGCTTCAGCAGTGATCTCACCATCTCTGCCGGCCAGTGTGACCTCATCCGAGATTGCTTCAACCTGTGCAGCAGGACGATGTTGAGGAGAGAGACAGTCATCAGCAGGAGGCCATTCATCTCTCAGGCCCCACGCAATCGTATCGTAAAAGATGAAATGTAAACGCTGCTTCTTTAAGGGGAACATTAGAGAGAACCTGGAAAACATTTTGGCCTGACAGTATTTGCAAAATGCTGATTTTTGGTTAAGAAGCATTTGAAGGTGTGGTTACACCCTGGCAGGGCTGTGTATACCCAGTGGAAGAACTCAGCGTTGACTTGGGTGTTGTCAGTTCTCTAGTGTGTGAGCTGGAGTTCACATACGTGTGTGTCTAACTGTGTGTGTGTAGAGAAAAATCAGGACCAGAGAGGGCTTGGGTCCTTATCTTCAATCAGACAAAAGTACTGGTGTTTGTACAAAAAACAGCTAGAATTCTTGGTGTTTAGTAAATTGCTTTCACTCCATATTTCTAATTTCTCTCTCTTATTTAAGCCTTGTTCCTGTTTTTGATAAAAATTTTAAAAATTGTACCCTCTTTTAATCCTCGAAACACTAATTTTGGATCTTTTTTCTGAACTGGCACTTCTGTCCCAGAAATCTGAAAGGATCCTCTTGAAGAAACATGTCCTCCCCCTCCCACCCCAGTCCCAGTTGAAAAATGCTTTAGCAAATGTGCTTTCTGTAAAGGACGGATTCCTCCTTCACTGTTGTAACTGTTACGAAAGCAGCTGAGTGCAAGCAAACAGATACAAGAGTGTAGGGGCTGTGCCCGAGGAGGACATAACCAGAATGAGGCGGTCGCCGTATTAGGTGGTGTGACTGTGGGCACACGGTCTTTTTTCAGATTGCACTGATGCTGACATTGCATTACTTTAAAAACAAAGGTCTTGTTTTAAAGTATGTTTGACATAAATATTAAGTTATACACTTAATAATTATCTAATGGTTTATTGAGAAATTCTCAAAGTGATTTTAAACTGTGATTCACTCAAAAAAAAAATCATAATGGACTCTTTCCTAGATTTTAAAATTATATTTTAAGATAAGTGAAGATGATGACATGTAGTTTTACTATCTTTGGAGCATTGGTTTTTTAATAAATTCTTAATCTTGACAAGGAATACTGTGGTATTGACTTTTTTCTTTGTTTTTAAGGAAATTATAATCATGTTCACAAATCTGGGCATGTGTAAATACCTAGTAGATTGGTAATTTGAACAGCAAAATATGAAACAGAAGTTCAGAAAGACAGTGTTCAGAATATACTGATCATCTGTAGCCTGCGTCCCTGGTGATACAGAGGAGACACCAGCTTTATTTTTTCATTGCAACCATGTGCCGTGTGTGCAGGAAGGAAATGCATGCTGGTCACAGGTCAGAAGCAGGATGGATGAGGTTTGAAGGAGAATATTTACTGTGGGGTTTTCCTAAACCCCTGACCTCATGGAAGATGCTATTTCTAGTAGACTTGGTGGAAACTTGGGCAGACCCGGATCTGTCGCATTGTGGTACCAGCAGGGGCCGTTAACAAGAAGCTATGGCCAGGTGTAGACCTCTGTGTGCTGGCCCAATAGGTGCAGTTACAGACTTGGACTGTGACCAAATCCCTACACTGCGCAGGCACTGAATTTGGGACCTTGCGGACTTCGATCTGAAGAGGGGCTCCTGCACACGGAAGGCCTAGAAATCGAAAGGTCTGCAAATTGTGTCGTGAACTGGACAGTTAAAGGAGCTAATGATGTTTCGTGTGAGGCAGAGAAAGGTTCAGGGGATCTGACAGATGCCTTCAAAATCTAAAGGGTAGTTTGTAAAAGTAGAAGCAGCATGTTTTCCATGTACCTTTGGAAGACTTAACTAAGAATGTGTACAGGCGGGGAGACAGGTGTGGCTACTGTGAGATTTTCTCACAGCTGGAGCAACCTTTCACGCAGTGAGCTGGGGGGTTCTGGCTGCATCCAGGCGGGGTGTTCGGTGAGAGACACCTCGGAACCGCTCACCTTCCAAGCCTGTGTGTCAGAAGCCTCCTCTTCTCCACCCCGCTGAAGGCTGGGCTGCGTGGCATCCCACGCCCCTGTCCTTCACATCCGTTTGCCCGCTGAGCCCAAGATGCAGAAGTAGGATGCTGACTGAGTGCTCGCGCCTGAGGCAGGCAGCCTCCCTTTCTCTGCCTTCCTCAATCTTCATCTGATCCCAAAAGCAAAAAAATGACCCTCCTATGTGTTTCTTAATTTGTTCTAAAATATTGTCTGCTCTCCTCTGGACGTGAGGTTCAGTGTGCCCCTTCACCTTTCTTTTTGAGGCGTTCTCTCAGCTCCCGTCTCCACAAAGACAACCCATCCTGTAGAATCTTATGTAGACATCAGCCAGGAGTGGGCAGAGGGGCCGACTGATACTCTTCTAAAAGCGGGGCAGTGTGGAGGGTGGCGTAGGGTCAGGTACTCTGTAGCGACACCAAACTGTAAATCTCTTAATTACCTTTAGCCATATGCAAGTAGATTTGCAGGAGAGAAACTCATCTTCATCAAATTAATGTATTTGAAAAACTAAAACTTGTAATTAGAAATATATTAGCATTTTGAGACATATGTATCTGGACATGATCATTTCTGTTGTCAGATAAGGTGTTGGCCCAATTTGTTATAAAATAATTCATAACAAGAAGTAGCAGAATTTCTGAATTGTTAACAGCAATTAAATAGTGCCCTGGTTGGTTTTGTTCAGTGGTTAGAGTGTCGGCCCTCAGACCAAAGAGTCTCGGGTTCAATTCCAGTCAAGGGCACGTACCTCGGTTGCAGTTCATCCCTGGCCCTGGTCCTGTGTGGGAGGCAGCCAATCCATGCGTCTCTCTTGACTCAGTATTTCTCTCTCTCTCTCTCTCTTTCCCCCTCTCTACCCCCCCCCCCCCCGGTCTATCTCTCTCTACCCCTCCCTCCCACTCTATCTGAAAATAAATGGAAAAATATTCTCAGGTGAGGATTTAAAAAAAAAAAAAAAAAAGTATCCACGGGTCCAAAACCTCAATGCAGGTGTGCCCCATTCCTTGCAACATTCCCTTAGTGTTTTCCCTGTCACCTGCACACTGGGTTGATGCTCTTTTCTAACTTAAATTTAGAATTTATCATCTTTCATTGACCCCGTGGATCTCTGCTTCCTACAGGAATAGGGGGCCTTCAGGACTTCGTGCTGAAATCCGCCACACTGTGCAGCTTGCCCTCCTGCCCGCCGTTCATACCACTCAACTTCGAAGCTACTCCTATTGTGAGGGTTGCTGTTGAGCCGAAGCATCCAAGTAAGATGACTTTGTTTTTAAAAGCATGATATTCATGACACTTTTTAAATGCATTTAAGACTCGATTCCCCACGGTTTCAGCAGTATTCTGTGCATTTTCATGCGGGTATGTAACAGAAGTCGTCTTGCCAGCCAGGAGGCCATACTGACCTCCCACTCTTCAGAAGGATTCTGACCTCTGTCTTAGGGTCGTGGCCTATTTAGGCACCTTTGCTCCCCCAAGGAGACTGTTTTCTTCTTGATGGCAGAGACAGGGTCATCTCTGCACCCCAGCTTGAAATCAGCATTGTTCTGACAGTGGAGTGACTCCCAGTGCAGGTGTCGCCAGCTTGTTGTCTCCGTAGCTTTTGTGAAAAAGTTTCTTCTTTGCCTGTTGAACTGTCACCCTTACCATGAAGACACAGATTTGAGTGTTTATGTTTTTTGTTTTTTAAAGCATTTGTTCGTCCTGTCCGGTTTGGCTCCGCAGTCGGAGGGTCGGCCGTGCACCGGGGGGTCTCAGGTCGGAGTCCAGTCGAGGGCACTTCCCTGGGTTTCAGAGCCGGACCCTGGCCGGCCGTTCAGGAGGCAGCCAGGCCTCTCTCTCCGATGTCCTGTCTCTCTCTCTCCGATGTCCTGTCTCTCTCTCTCCGATGTCCTGTCTCTCTCTCTCCGATGTCCTGTCTCTCCCCCTCCCTCCCACTGTCCGAGAAATCAGTGGAAAATACTCTCAGTAAGGCTTAAGAAAAAAGATTTAAAGACTTTGCTCGAGTCTCATATTGGTGACAGCCATTGTTTTTAGTAATTTTTCCCTTGTGCTTGTTATTCGTGTTATCAGTGGTCTTTTTGCAGGAATCCTTTTAAACCACATTTCAAATTCGGTGAAGGTTAAGTCAGTTAATGCCCGATGATACCTGTGAATCTACTTAGCTAGATGAAGGAAACTACCGTGTGCCTGAAGGGACAGGGGGTGCCCCGTCGACCCCACGGGCAGCGCAGTCCGCTCCGTCTTCCCTCCAGATTCCGTGCATCCCGGGTGGGGCCCAGAGCCAGCAGCCTGTGGGCTTCGCAGGCAGTGACTCGGATCTTGACACAAGTTCCTTGGCTTCTCTGTGCCTGTCTCCTCACCTATAAAATGGGACCAATCATCACCTCTTCTTGTGGTTAGAGTCTGACACATTGTTAGCTAGTATGACATGTTCGTTATTATTAGAAAAGCTTTATCTAAAAAATAGACTTGGAATACATGTGAATAACGAACCCTAATAACACGGCGAGACCCACTGATGGCAGAAAGCTCCGGTGCTTGCCCGGCGTGTGGAAGACGAGCCTTGAGGAGTGGCTGGTTCTTTGGAGCGTGGAAGTGAAACCGGCTGCATAAAACCTGCGAAGCCGGGGCCTCTGCCGGCTGGTCCCGGGGCTCCCTCTGGCCTGCCTGGAGTGAGCAGGAGCTGCGAGGCTGGCAGAGGGGCGAGAAAGCACGTACCCCAAGATGTGATCAGACCCACCCACACCTCGCCCCCAGGAGCCGCGGGAAAGCAGTGGGCGCCGAGCGCGAGCAGAGCAGAGAGCAGGCGGGGCTGAGCCCGCGGGGCGGTGGCTGTCAGCGCTGCGGCAGCCCAGCCGAAGGCCAGCGCCCTCCCGTCCCGCGCGCCCGTCAGGGTCCCGTGAGCGTTTTAAGTAGGGGGCTCTGCTGCATTCTCTTGAACTGACTATCATATCAAATGCTTATTTTGCTTATTTGCTGATTTTAGAGGTACTGCTTAGGGAAGAGTTCTGTTACATTGCTAGGCATATAGTATGTACAGTTGCAATAAGTTTTAGGTGTGTTCACAGGTGTGACGATGGTAGGTAGTTTATATGTGCTGAATATCTGAAGAATGTCTGGATCAGCTTGTGGAGTCTTGATGATGAGCATGTGTCTCATTTTAGCTCTCTATACAAATACATTACCAGAAGATAGTTTTCTTCTCGTCACTACATTATTTGGAAGGAAAATAAACTTATTTTAAGAGTTTATTTCATTGTTCTTTTCCCTTCAGTGGCAAGGACGCTAGCTGTAGATTGTGTTAGTCCTTACGTTGTATTGAATCAGTATTCCTTTTGTTAACCTAGGTGAGATGCCTCAGCTCGTCAGAGGGATGAAACTGTTAAACCAGGCTGATCCCTGTGTCCAGATTTTGATTCAGGAGACAGGAGAGCATGTTCTGGTCACGGCGGGGGAAATCCACCTTCAGCGCTGCTTGGACGACTTGAAAGAAAGGTGAGCTCATGGTCGAGCTGCAGAAAAGATCGCTCCGAGACCAAGGGGTGCTTTCATGTTTCCTGAGCCGTCTGAACTTAAACTGTGTTTGTTTAGGAGAAAAAGTGAAATGCCCCGAACTATTACTTGTTATTGGATCACAGATTTAATTTTTAATAACTGGCATTCACTTTTATACTTCAGGAGATTTGCATTTTTAGCTTGTCCAAATATTTTCATGAATGTATTTTACTTTAAGTATATACACACGCTCAGCATATCAGGACAACAAAACAAAATTTCCTTTGGCAAACTTAGGCTATGATTAGGACCTATTTCTTTCCTTATTGATGTGGTCTCTGCAGTGCAAATCCCAGGAAGTCTTGATATTTCTCTATTAGGAAATTTGTGTCATGAAATAGGCATCCCAGATCACTTTGTAGAACAGTTTTCCTGTTCCAAAGGCAAGGTGTATACAATGTGGTAGCAATTAGGAAAATGCAGAGAGGAGGCGGGAGTGGGCGGAGGAAAGGCTGTGGCCCCTGCCCCGCTCATGCTCAGAGTGCTGGTTCAGTGGAGAGGCCTGCCAGGGGGGCGTGTCCTCATTTCTGTTCTCGGTTGGAGATGCTGGTGGTGTGGCTGTCCCTCCTTGAAATGTTTTCTTAGCCACAGTCAGTACAGAATCGGAAGGTAGCTCTTCCGTCTCCGTCACGTTCATTACCATTTTCTTGGCATTTCTGAAGGTTCTAATAGGTTAGAGAATAATGCTAATTGGATAAATCATGATGTGTAGTGTATTTCAAAATAATTTAATTATTAGGGATTTTAAAAAAAACTATTATTTTGGGGAGGGGGTCTTTGAACTAAATTATTTTCTCTTCACATTCTTTGGTACCAAATTAAAATCCATGTCAAATAACCCTACATTTCTTAGGCCATTAACTCTTCTTTAAAAGTAATTTGTTTTGTTTTGTTTGGTACTTAGAATTATATTTCAAGTAATACTCACCCTGTAAGCCTAAAACGAATTTCAGCTGAATTGTTTATTAGTTTCTTTGTTTAGACTTTTAATTTTTATCTCATGGTTTTCATCATGGGTACTTTTTAATCTCAGGAGAAACAAAAACTATACTTTATAATAAGAGAAATTAGTTTTCTAGAAATATCCCTTTAACATGCATTATAATATTTTAATAAATAATTCATTATGAAAACCACTATGTAGACCTTTTTTAGAAACTATTCATATCCAAACACCTAAAAATAATTTAGACTGAATGAGGATAATAAAAGCAATAACACATCTGCTTTTCAACAACTCTATACTGCTTTAATAAGGTGCTTGACGAATTCTGGAGTGTTTGTTCACTGCTGCTCCTGAGAATGTCAGCATCTGAGTGACGCCACCTCCCCCACAGTCCCCGCCGTGTGGGTCCAGAGGGGACAGAGCTCACGGGCAGGTGTGGTGTCTGCCCAGGTGGTCACTGTGCTCGTTTCCTCCAGGCATTACACTGGCAAATAGTATTTTAAAGAATTCGTGTGTCAGATCTTATTAAAATATGTATTTCCCCTTCAGAACATTCTTATCTAAATAGATGGCTTATTTTAAGAATGAATAAAGTAGTGAAATTCTACTACATGCAAAGAACCCCCTGAAGGTTTTTTCCCCGTTAGTTTTTCAGTCTGAAATGAAAGCAGTTTATCTTTCTTAGTAAAATAATTTTTATATTTTTGTTTTTTTAAGAATCTCCATTGTGTGATATTTCTACATGGGAATTTTTTTTTTTTTTTATCCTCACCCGAGGACATTTTTCCATTTTTTGTTCAGATAGAGTGGGAGGGAGAGAGAGGACCAGAGAGAGAGAGAGAAACATCGACGTGAAGGGACACATCGAGTGGCTGCCACCCGCATGACCAACCAGGGCCGGGGACAAACTGCAACTGAAGTACGTGCCCTTAGCGGGAACCGAACCCGGGTCTCTGGAACGCAGGCCGACACTCTAACCGCTGAGCAAAACCGGCCAGGGCTACATGGGAGTTTTGATGCTATTTTGGTTATAACCTTTTGTTATGTTTCTCTTGAATTTGTCTTTAGGTTTGCAAAGATTCAAATCAGTGTATCTGAACCCATTATTCCATTCAGAGAAACAATCACAAAACCCCCCAAAGTGGACATGGTCAACGAAGAAATAGGCAAACAACAGAAAGTTGCAGTCATACACCAGATGAAAGAAGATCAAAGCAAAATCCCTGAGGGAGTCCAGGTTGACTCTGATGGTCTAATCACCATGACAACTCCCAACAAATTGGTCACGCTCAGTGTCCGAGCCGTGCCCCTTCCAGAAGAAGTCACTCGGATCCTGGAAGGAAACAGTGATCTGATTCGTTCGATGGAACAGTTGACGTCATCGTTGAATGAGGGCAAGAACACTCAGGTGATTCACCAGAAGACCCAAGAGAAAATGTGGGAATTCAAAGGAAAACTGGAGCAACACCTAACAGGGAGAAAGTGGAGGAATACTGTTGACCACATCTGGTCATTTGGCCCAAGAAAATGTGGGCCCAACATATTAGTAAACAAAAGTGAATATTTTCAGAACTCTGTGTGGACAGGCCCAGCTGGCAAAGCTTCCCAAGAAGCCAGCAGACACCGAGACATGGGTAACAGCATCGTGAGTGGCTTCCAGCTAGCGACTCTCTCTGGCCCCATGTGTGAGGAGCCTCTCATGGGTGTTTGTTTTGTTCTGGAAAAGTGGGACCAAAGTAAACTTGAGGAACAAGGAGCAAGTGATAAACAGAATCAAGATCTGGTGCGAGAGGGACGGGGGCAAGGGGTGAGCTGTTGCCTGGGAGACGGGGTAGAGGAGCGGCAGGACCGGCAGGACGGCCACTCCGAGCCCTTGGAGAAGAGCCCTGCCCAGAGGGGGGAGCCTCCCCTCCCCGACTGCTACGGGCCCTTGTCAGGACAGCTGATCGCCACCATGAAAGAAGCCTGTCGCTACGCACTGCAGGTGAAACCACAGCGTCTGATGGCGGCCATGTACACGTGCGACATCATGGCCACCAGTGATGTTCTCGGTAAGGAGGGAAGATGAAGGGAAGTCTCCCCAATAAGGACATTTAATCTCGTTTAACTTTTTTTTTTTTATAGAAGCTCCATTAGCATCTAATTTACTAAGGCACTAAGATCTTTGAAAGCCAGAGGACTTAAATATTAAAATTCTTGAGAGAGGGGGAAAAACTTGATTACTAAAGATCTTTTGCAACAAAAAGACTCTTTTCTGTAATGAAAGGTCTGGTAAATGAGGTTTAAAAAGCCCGTATATGTTACTGTCCAAACCTGTGCAGCGTTTTTTTCTCAAGTGAATAACCATATCAGTCTGGGTAACCAGAGTCATTCTAAACATGATCAAAGAGGGAGACGACATTCTTGTAGTCCCAACACAAAGGGGTTTCTGTGAATTCCGGGTCCCGTCCGAAGAAGAAAATCATGTGGGCTTTATTCAGTGCTAACCATTATATCAAATTCTCCATTTTTTTCCCCCTTTTGGGGAGACCTCAGAAGACATGAAGCCCTGGCACTTAGTAGCTATTTTGACTTTTGACAGGTAGTATTTCACTGAGACTAATTTCCTTCACCTAAAAAGATGATGAGGATTCATTGGAGGCTGTGAACATCGGTCTGAGAATACAGACACGGCCTCAACGATGCCTGGCGCGCCGCAGCTGTGCCACCCTCGCGACCGCGCAGCTTTCCGGGGCGAGGAGGGTGGGGGGGAGCCCGGCTGTGAGAGTGGGCCCGGCCAGCCAGTGCCTCCGCCCCCGGCCTTCCGGTCGGGACGTGCCTCCTCCCTGTAGGGAGATCCTGTCGCCGATTAGTCCTAGAAGCACGAATCTAAATTGATTTCTTTTTCCTAAAGAAATTTAGCCTCGCCTGGCAGTGAGGTTCCGGTGGGATGAGCTGGGCATCCGAGGACAGCTGGGTCGACAGTGACGAGATGTTAGAACGTGTGCCTCGGGAGTCAGACCTGCGAGCACGACACACAGTGCACAGTGCTGCTCGCCTGGCAGTGAGGTCCCGGTGGGATGAGCTGGGCATCCGAGGACAGCTGGGTCGACAGTGACGAGATGTTAGAACGTGTGCCTCGGGAGTCAGACCTGCGAGCACGACACACAGTGCACAGTGCTGCTCGCCTGGCAGTGAGGTTCCGGTGGGATGAGCTGGGCATCCGAGGACAGCTGGGTCGACAGTGACGAGATGTTAGAACGTGTGCCTCGGGAGTCAGATCTGCGAGCATGACACACAGTGCACAGTGCTGCTCGCCTGGCAGTGAGGTCCCGGTGGGATGAGCTGGGCATCCGAGGACAGCTGGGTCGACAGTGACGAGATGTTAGAACGTGTGCCTCGGGAGTCAGATCTGCGAGCACGACACACAGCACAGTGCTGCTCGCCTGGCAGTGAGGTTCCGGTGGGATGAGCTGGGCATCCGAGGACAGCTGGGTCGACAGTGACGAGGTGGTTAGAACGTGTGCCTCGGGAGTCAGATCTGCGAGCATGACACACAGCACAGTGCTGCTCGCCTGGCAGTGAGGTTCCGGTGGGATGAGCTGGGCATCCGAGGACAGCTGGGTCGACAGTGACGAGATGTTAGAACGTGTGCCTCGGGAGTCAGATCTGCGAGCATGACACAGTGCACAGTGCTGCTCGCCTGGCAGTGAGGTTCCGGTGGGATGAGCTGGGCATCCGAGGACAGCTGGGTCGACAGTGACGAGATGTTAGAACGTGTGCCTCGGGAGTCAGATCTGCGAGCACGACACACAGTGCACAGTGCTGCTCGCCTGGCTGGGACACAGCCCATCTGTTGACGTCCGTGGGCGGGGCATCTTCATTTGAGGAGCACCAGTCTAGACCATTCCCAGATGTTACTCTTTATTGTCATCAAAAACTGTCTTCATGTAAGAAGGCAGAGGTAGTGTTAGCAGCAGGGAAGCATGATGCCTCACGTGCTTGCAGACCTCGCAGACTTCTCCAGTCGTGCTGAGAGGTGCCCGTGCCACTTGCATCTGAGCACTGCTGTTGGTGGGCGACTCACAGCCAGTCCCACGGTCGGACGGTCTTTTCTGTTGATCAGAAAGTCTCATCTCCCGCTACTTCCCACCCATTTCCACCACCATTCATGCCTCTTGCAGTCAACTTCACATATTTGGGGAGAGCATTCATTTTCTAGTTTTATATCCAGGAGAAAACTCCCGATCCCTCCGCTGTTTTTGACAATATGATTTTTGTTACCCTTCACCATTTCAGTTGCTGTCCTCTGGATGTACTCTTTTTTTTTTTAATCACCAAAGGATATGAGGATATGTTTTTATTTATTTTTAGAGAGAGAGGAAGGGGAGGAGAGAGAGAGAGAAACATTGCTGTGAGAAATAGTGACCGATGTCCCCTGCACACACCCCGCCTGGGGATCAGACTCGAAGCCTTTTTGACCTGTGGGATGATCGCTCCAACAACTGCACTACCCAGCCAGGCAGCCAACCACCCTCCTAGACACAGCAGCTCAGATATCCGACCTGTACAGAACATAGACACACTGTTAACCTCTACATGTGTCCGACATTCTCCTTTTAATGCAGTTTAGCAACTGCATCTTCTCATTAACTGGTGAGAAGTCAGGATCAGTCTCGTTTCTTTTTCTTTTTTTTTTTTTTTTTCCTCACCCGAGGATATTTTTCCATTTTTTGTACAGATAGAGTGGGAGGGAGAGAGAGGAAGGGAGGGAGAGAGAGGAACATCGATGTGAAGGGACACATCGAGTGACTGCCACCCGCACGACCAACCAGGGCCGGGGACAAACTGCAACCGAGGTATGTGCCCTTAGCGGGAACCGAACCCGGGTCTCTCCAGACCGCAGGCCGACGCTCTAACCGCTGAGCCAAACCGGCCAGGGCTCTTTTTCTTTTTTTAAATAAGTTACATGTTCTCATTTTGTTCCCCAAAAAGCCAAATCTGAATTTTGGTTATTAAAACTAGAATTCCTTTATTTACATATGAGTAAACAGGATCTATACAATTGATTTTTAAAAAATATGTTTTTAGCCCTGGCCGGTTTTGCTCAGTGGTTAGAGCGTCGGCCTGCGGTACAGAGGGACCCGGGTTCGGTTCCTGCTAAGGGCACGTGCTTCGGTTGCAGTTTGTCCCCAGCCCTGGTTGGGTCGTGTAGGTGGCAGCCACTCGATGTGTCCTTTTCACGTTGATGTTTCTCTCTCTCTCTCTCTCCCTCCCACTCCCTCCCACTCTCATCTGAACAAAAAAAATGGAAGAATGTCCTCGAGTAAGGATAAAATATATATATATATATTTATATATGTTTTTATTGGTTTTTTAGAGAGAGAGGTAGGAACATTGATGTGAGGACAAAACGTCAATCGGCTGCCTCCTCCACGCCCCCTTTTGGGATCAATCCCGCAACCCAGGCACGTGCCCTGATGGAGTCAAACCGGGACCGCTCAGTCCACGGGACGACGCTCTGTCCACGGAGCACACCGGCTGGGCTGTACAATTAATTTCTTCTTGGCTTATATGTATAAAAGGGTAAACATTACAATAATAGTGAGTAAAGTTTTTAAATGCCAAGAAAAAGAAGTCCCAACATAATATTAACACATTGATTCCTTTTTTAATTTTTTTATGTGTCTGGTGAGGAATGAAACTCAAGAGGCAGGGAATCAAATATTCTAGTGAGGGTAGGGCCCTTTGTGCGCATGTAGCTTTTCCTGATTATCAGCCCCCAGCCGTATGAGAAGGAACACGCTCCAGTCGATGCGATTTCGTGTTGGAAAGTGAATCAAATATTCTAGTGAGGGTAGGGCCCTTTGTGCGCATGTAGCTTTTCCTGATTATCAGCCCCCAGCCGTATGAGAAGGAGCACGCTCCAGTCGATGCGATTTCGTGTTGGAAAGTGAATCAAATATTCTAGTGAGGGTAGGGCCCTTTGTGCGCATGTAGCTTTTCCTGATTATCAGCCCCCAGCCGTATGAGAAGGAGCACGCTCCAGTCGATGCGATTTCGTGTTGGAAAGTGAATCAAATATTCTAGTGAGGGTAGGGTCCTTTGTGCGCATGTAGCTTTTCCTGATTATCAGCCCCCAGCCGTATGAGAAGGAACACGCTCCAGTTGATGCGATTTCGTGTTGGAAAGTGAATCAAATATTCTAGTGAGGGTAGGGCCCTTTGTGCGCATGTAGCTTTTCCTGATTATCAGCCCCCAGCCGTATGAGAAGGAACAACGCTCCAGTCGATGCGATTTCGTGTTGGAAAGTGAATCAAATATTCTAGTGAGGGTAGGGCCCTTTGTGTGCATGTAGCTTTTCCTGATTATCAGCCCCCAGCCGTATGAGAAGGAACACGCTCCAGTTGATGCGATTTCGTGTTGGGAAGTGAATCAAATATTCTAGTGAGGGTAGGGTCCTTTGTGCGCATGTAGCTTTTCCTGATTATCAGCCCCCAGCCGTATGAGAAGGAACACGCTCCAGTTGATGCGATTTCGTGTTGGAAAGTGAATCAAATATTCTAGTGAGGGTAGGGCCCTTTGTGCGCATGTAGCTTTTCCTGATTATCAGCCCCCAGCCGTATGAGAAGGAACACGCTCCAGTCGATGCGATTTCGTGTTGGAAAGTGAATCAAATATTCTAGTGAGGGTAGGGCCCTTTGTGTGCATGTAGCTTTTCCTGATTATCAGCCCCCAGCCGTATGAGAAGGAGCACGCTCCAGTCGATGCGATTTCGTGTTGGGAAGTCTGTGTCGTCTTCAAAGGTTTACCTCAGACTTGTTTAAATATGAACATGTTTTTATAATGTTTTCTCAAAATTCTGTAGGAAATGAGCATATAGCTTTCTGTCACCAGCCGCTCACTATCTTGAACTTCACTGTTCTCTCTACTGTGTCTGTTCCTCTTGCTCTGGTTGGTTCACCTTCTCCTTACTGATGAAAGCAGAGGTCACAGGTATTGAGAACCAACTGTGCTTTCTTGCTGATATCTGTTAACATCACCCTGGCTTCTCCAAGTCGTAGGTCTGCAT